TTCCGTAAACACTTCGTAATTAACATTTCAATCCTCAGTTTAAAAATTAGTACCTTTTTGAAAAATATTGAGATCAAAGAATTTTTGAACAATTCATTTGATAATAAATCAGTTCTATTACTTCATTTACTTAATTTTAAATTTTTATACCCGACCGCACTTGTGCACAAGGGTATTATAACTTTGTTCACATAACGGTTGTTTGTAACAGGCAAAACGAATCGAGATAGATATAGACATATGTATACCTAAATGATCAGGCTGAAAAGAGAAATCGATTAAGCGCTGACTGTCTGTCCGTCCGTCCGTCCGTCCGTCTGTCCGTCCGTCTGTCCGTCCGTCTGTGCACACGATAACTCGAGTAAAAATTAAGATATCTTAACGAAACTTGGTACGTGTACTTCTTTCGGGCGTAGGACGGATGGTATTGAAAATGGGCAAAATCGGACAATAACCACGCCTACCTCCCATATAACGGTAATTTTCAGAAATACGAAAACTGCGATATTTTAGTAACTACTGAAGATTATTCACTCAAAATTGATATTTACAATAATTTTTAGACGAAAAATAAGAATATTATAAATTTTTGGAAAATGGGCGTAGCCACGCCCACTTATGGTTACATGTGTATATCTTGGTAACCGCTGCACCAATTTCTTCCAAATTTGGCGCAGTTGTTAACCTTGGTATAACATACGAAANATTGATACGCTCCGGCTTACCATGTAGCCGTAGCTTTCGGTAAGGTGAAAAACATATATTTAATACGTGCGCCGGGTATTTAATGTTCGGCTCCGCCCGAACTTAGACTTTCTTACTTGTTAGTTTTAACTTTTTAAATCGGTGAGAGACAACACTATTGAAAAATGTTTTTTTTAACCAAAGATTTCGTAAATACCTTTCGTTGGATACCGAAATTGTAAGATTTCATTTATCTAAACAATTTAATTGAATTAAACTTTTCAAACAGCCCTCTTTAAATTTTGTTTGCACATTAAGCCTTCCTAAGCCACTTAATTTTCATACACACATTGTAGCATTTCATTTAGACTATGAATTGAATTAAATTAAATTTTTCGAACAGGTGGCAACAATATGCAAAAATTTTTGGAAATAAAGTTTTATCAAGCCCTTTTAGTCTGGTACCTATAGTGTAATATAATGTTATGGTGTAATAATATGTTATTTACCTTTAATTGGATTAAATTTTTGAAACATGTGGCAGCTCTTTTAAAAAATATTTTCCAAATTACGCTTTCTCAAAACCTCACTAGTTTCATACCTAAATTGTAATATATTTTATCAATCTAATTAATCAAAAATTTTAAAGCAGGTGAGGGCACACAATTTTTTTACATATGTTTGTAAATCATGCGGAATTTATAGCGAACAAACGGATTGCTCAAATCGGTCAAGCCGTTTTCGAGTTTTTGCCTGCCAAACAAACGATTTTAACATTTTCATATACATACACTATATGTTGATACAGATTTATATATGTACGAGTGTGTATGGACATCGTAGATACATACATATTTAGATGGAAAATAAGGAGACCCAATTTTTCTTTTTTTTTGAAATCGGTTAATATTAAACCGTGCTTCCGGGGCTCAAAATCCATATATTTTATATGGGGAAAATAGATTTTTTTCCTAGAATTGCTGTACAATTTTTAAAAATTATTTTTTTTTTGATCGAATAAAAAATTTTTTATTCAGAGACTACACGCTAAAAACAAATGTTTGTATATAAGAGATGCGATAATCGCTTATGAAAAAATAGTTGGCAAAATTTTTAAGTTACATTTTTATCAAAATATTTTTTTTTCTTTTAAATTTCAAAGTCAAATACATTTATTCTATCAAACAGTCTTTATTTTTAACAATTTTATAGCATTTCTAGAAAAAACAATATTTTTTCCATATAAAATTAATGGAAAACTTAGAAGTCGGCTGGAATATTAAGTTGAGGGACACCCTAATGTACGTATATACATTCCTATGGACAAGAATCGGTTGATATGTTAAAACTTTGCACATAGACGCCCACCCAAGTGACAATACGCCAACAAGCTCTTGTTCATATATTTATCTGTAAAAGACCAGTAGAGCGCAGTGGACGTTTAGACTTGGGCAATTCAATTTTACCGCTAGCAGTTCGCTGGTTATAGCTCGAAAGCCTCACTAACAAAGTTGTACATATTGTTGTTTACATATAGTTTTGCTTTGACTTGTGCTACTAATATTCATTCACACACAAATATGTATGTGTACATCAGTACACACGTGCATACACAAAAGTGTCTAAGGATTACGTGCGCCGCCATGACAACGAAATTAATTACGCCTAAACAGGCCATATGGATGGATAGTGAATTGTGAGTCCTTTAGTCAACAAAACGGCAAGGTGAATGACAACTGCAATTACAGCAAAGACCAAATCAAATCAAAGTAGAAGAAAGAATAGAAAATAGTAAAAGACAAAATGGAATAAAAATCATTGTAGTAGTCGATTTATATAAAAGTAGTGAAAGAGTACTAAAAAAATTTACAAACAAAGCGAACTGCGTGATTTCCGCATGTTCCGCATATTCCCTTAGTTCAGATTGAAGGCTGTTAAAAGCTTTGTCACCAACCGGCAATGGCGTGCTGTGTGTGATACCACTGAGCTCACAGAAGGATACATTTTTTTTTATTTTTTTTTTTGTATGCTATTTACTAAGTAGTTGTGTGTTTTGCCCCCCGCATGAGTAAGTAGACTGCAATATCTTCTATCCTGGATTTTTCTAGTCATGCTTAACATCACCACGGGGGGGACGGCGCTCTCAGGAAATGGTCTTCCTTTGATGCACTCACAGACTAGGGATTGGATTGGACTACTTTGTTTTACAGAAAATAAGGGAGTTTGTTAAATAATATTTACTTGAAAGGTAAAAGTTTAGATTCAACTAAGTATGTAGGGCAATATACATCTTGAAATAGTTATTTATGTATATCTGGTTATTCTTCTTGATTGGCGTCCGTAACCGCCTAGTCGAGTCCCACAAATCAGGCCAATCGTTTCTCTTCTGTGCCAACTGACGCCAATTGGAAACGCCAAGTGAAGTCAAGTCCTTCTCCCTCTAGTCTTTCTAATGCCTTCTTCTTTCTCTTGTTGCCAGCATTGCGACCCGCTTTAAATACTTTCTGGACTGGAGCGTTTGCCTTCATTCGCACGACATGGCCGAGCCAGCGGAGTGGTGCTTGCGTCACTACCTGGATGCTGGGCCAATGAACAGGCAACACTACCACTAACCAACCAAATTGTACGGAGCTTTTTTTATTATTTCAGCATCGACTCTCTTTACAACAAGACCTTGAATACTTATCATACACTATGACTTTAAACAACAAAGGAAGAAGGACGTATAGGGATAGTTTTTCAACAGAAGTTTGTAGTCAAGGATCCAATGTAGTATATCCCTATGGAAAAAAGATTGCCCGGCAAGGCTCAACAGGTACACAAACTTTATGTTTTTTGAAATTTTTGCTAAAATAAATTTCCCAAAGAGCTTCATATGAAGTATTGAAACGAAAAAAAACAACCAAGGCAAGTCACGAAAATATGTTTTAAAATTATAGTGCACAATTTCTTCTTTCATGCCTAGAAGTTTCTTTAAAATTAGTCCACAAAGAAAACCTAATATAGAAGGAAACAAATGCAACGATTTAAAACACAGAAAATAAAATAAAAAATTTATCATACCAAGTAATTTTTAAGCAAAAAACAAAACCGACTTCAGTTCTCATATAAAAATATATATATGGATCTAAACCAAATTAGTATGGGACCACCTCTGAGACACTACCTTTCCGATGCAAAAACAATTATCGGAATCGGTACAAAATTACACGGTAACATACATAAAAAAAATTTCTGATGAACTGACAACCTCCTCCTTTTTTGGAAGTCGGTTAAAAGGGACTATATTCTCTTTGATATACGTCAAAGATCAAGTTTAAATGGGGACTTGTATGGCTACCCATTGGGGTGGTCCAAAAAAATACGAATTTTAAATGGTAAGCACTCATCCCTAGGACTTTTGTAAATGGAAAAAAAGAATACCCGTATTTTGTTGTTAAAAAAATTACATTTACAACTGCCGAAAAGCACATGAAGCTTTCCATGTATTTTAAATTAAGAAACCACACTTTTTTGTAGCAATGGAAAACTCTGTTCCTCTTCAGAATACTTCCAATAATAATACCCAAGTATTAACTTTACCATTTTTGAATGCTAATAATTTTGTATGGGTCCCTCATTGTACTTCTTGGGGTTTTTTGGAGACCTATAAAAAATAGTTCATATTAAAAAATTGTTAAATAAACAATTGGGTATTCCTTTCTGATCGAAAAGTTTTAAGAAAAGTATATCAAGACTTCATGGGCTTTGAGGCAGTTCTAAATATCTTTTTTTTGTTTAAAAAAAAAATTGTCGGGGAGAGCTTAACATTTTAAACTTTTTACTCCACCGCATATATTTTGGGACCACCCTACTGCCAAAAATAGCTCGGTTATTAGCGTGAGAAGTAAAATGCTTAAAGACACTTATCAAAGTTGATAGTTCTGATTTTTAACCGGTTTATTACACAAATAGTCCGATGTGTGTTGCATATTTTGGGGAAGCTATTTTGGTATAGTATTATTGGCGCAGCAAATGCTTCTCACATTTAACTTCACTTGGATAAGTGATGTTTTGTTCATAAAGAGACTTTTTTGTAGATTGAAGTATAGAATTATAACAACAATTGTCAAAAAAAAACAAGAAATGTATGTATTTAAGTAGTGGGGTGAATTCACATTAGTAAAGCCCATACAAATTAAGCCTATTTTTGGTATTATTATTAATTACATAAAGTTTATAAAATTTAGTCTGTAAATAAATGCATTATTATCTATCAAAAAAACTTGTGAAATTCTTTTCTTCAGATTATTATTATTATTTTTTTTGCATCCCACCTTTTATCCATTTCTTGTGCGTTTTGTGACTTGAAGCTATTCCAGTCTAGTTGTCTCGAATGTTGGCTGCTGATGAGCAAATCGAGGTTGTCAAAATCGAAGTTTATAATTTTTGTTTACTTTATTCTCATAAAAAAATCACCTTCATATATTACTAATCCACTTTGATAATGCACGAAGTTTAAAACTGCAAGATTATTTAATCTAACTTTACTTTCAAATATTTCTTTAAAGCATATATTTTTTATATGTGTAAGCCAAATTTTATTCATCGGATTTTGCACAAATTTTATCTGAATCAATTCAGACTGATTGCAACCGAAGTCCTTAAATTTTTCAATCCATTAGTCTGGGACTGACTATAAAATTAACTAATTCTTGTTTTTATTTCTTATTTGTTTGTCACTTTTGTCTGAACGGTTAGTTATGTTGAAGCATTTTCTTCTTTAATTTTACTAGAAATATGTGTACTTGTTATTATTTTTATGATATTTTTTATTTGGAGCAATCATAGGCAGACCAAATTGACGATAATTTTGTTTTTTTTTAATTTTCAATTTTTCCCCCTACCCACACTTTTACAGTTCCGTAAAATCACTTCTTTTTTTTCTACTAAACAACTTTAATTACATTCACTCATAATGGAATTTATTTATTGCCAGCGGCTAAAACACGCACTCCACCGCCCCAAATATCTTCGCACATCCATTGCTGCTGCCGCACATACACAACCGAAACCACTACCATCACTTAGTACAATAACAGTACATTTCTTTCACTCACTTCACATTTTGCATTTCACGTTCCGTTTGGTTCCGTTTCCGTCGAAGTTGAATTTCCTACTGAATTGCTGTGGCACAACGGCTAGACCAGCGAAGGCATGCTGTTGAGTTGCTTCGTTTTGTTTCTTGGTCGGTTGGCATTCGTTTGCCAATGCAAGCAGTGAAGTATTTTCCTGCACTGAACACACGCATCGCCTACACACACGCACACAAACACATGTGACTTGGAAGCACAAACAAATTTTCAAAACATTGCAATCGGGAGCGAGAGAGTGCCCCACGCACTCCACCTTGCGCATTTTCACTCTCGCCTGGCAACGTCGCACAGCCGGCAACATGCGCGCTCTGTTTGTATCAGGGCTCGTTATTATCGTAAATTTGGTGTGGCATGCAACATATTATTTGTTTGTTGTCGCAACAGCACGTGGCAGTCTTTTGTATTCAATCGAATAAATGCAATGTTTTGTGTGTTGTACGTGCGTGCGTGTGGGGGAGACTCGATTGAGTGCTGCAGCAACATTTCTCACGCTCATGCAACATGTAGCGAAGGTTTTTTTGCTGCGATGCATTTTGGATATTTATGAATTTATGTAGTTAATTTGAAAAGAAACCAAGCATCCAAGTAAAAGACCTTTCAATAATTATTTTTGCGACGTCATTATGGGGGAAAGGCGTGCAATTTAGAGACCAAATTTGCATGGTTCCACCCCTCTTAAGAGAAAATTTCATGAAAAATTCACCCAGAGATGGTCTTCAGTGTCTCACAGCGTCTACTTAGCTGCATCGAAACATATCATCAAATCCATCCCATCGCGTGACTAAGAAGTCTACTGCGTACAGTGTAACATCTGAAGATCTAGCTACTGGCTAAATGATTCAATGCCCATACCGACGGCCACCCACTTGCGGAAAAGGTTGGCTGTCGGTTCTATAAAACCGACTACTTTGGCGTTTACAGAAGGCGAGGCGTTGATACCATATTCGCGGGAACAGAGAAAGGATTAGCCGGAAAGCAAAAACTAAAAACCACACTAAACTAGTGGTGCGGGCGGGAAGATCCATGGGACTCATTTGACAATAGCAAAGCGGAAAGCAGCATGAAAAAATGCGACCAATGGGGTCTTATCTTACCTGCTGTGAATAACAGCGAGTATTTAGAGCCCTTAAGTAGGGTTATCATCATTTTGTCCCTTGGATCTTTCATACAAATGAACCGATTCCTAAAGCCGACCCCACAAACAGAAGCCAATTACTGGTCTTTATGAATCGATAGAGGACACTATTTCCGAGAAAATCATGAGCGTACTAGAATGATTAGGGTAGTCGAGGCTAAAACCAAGCATGCTAAGACCAACTCGGACAAATTTCTGTCTTCCCAAGGGTTAGGTTTTGTTAGATTAGGTTTAGGTGGCTGTCTTAGACCGCAAGAGCGATAGTTGCTGAGTTCCGAGAACGAAGCTTTGCAGGCGGCCAACCTTAACCCCCGAGAACTCCTCCGGCTTTGTCAGACAATATGAATCCAAAGGCCTTAGCCGAAATCTAGCAAAAACTGGGCAGTCTAGGAGGAAATTCTGAGATGACTCTACCTTGTCGTCCTCCATACAGCTGCAACAAAGATCCATTAAGATATTTTATCACACTGAATCGAGATATCCGAGTTCGCTAGCCTAAGGAGATCCCTAGACCGCAACCTGTCTACCCTCGGCCAGGAAGACCACGCCATGGCACATACTCTGGTTTCCCGCCGGCGTTCGTAGAGTAGACCCGAGGCCCATCTTCCAAGAGAAGTCCAGAAGTAGTAAAGGGAACTACCAGAATATCTTTTCTTGGCGATAATTCCCTAAGGATGACGCCTCTGGCCAGTTCATCAGCCGCGCAGTTTCCTACTGCCTGGCACCCAGAAAAGGATAACAAAGCAATATTCCGACGCTACAGAAAGCAAATTAAGGCATTCCCCAACAAGCGTAGATACCAGGGCTCTGTTTGCCGCCTGGCTGTCTGAGTAGATGGTAACCTCCGTTACTGCCATCGCACCTAACAGCAGACAATCGACTGCTTCATTAATAGCAGCAAGCTCATCCAGAAACACACTACAGCGATCTGGAAGCCTAAATTTAATGTTGATGGAGAGCTCCATGGAGTAACCCCTTCCGCCGACTCTTCCACCTAGCTTCGGCCAATCCGTGTTAAAGTTCTACGGTGCTTCCTGCTATCCACCGCCCTGCATCCACTCATCCCTACGTGGTATATGCGTTGAGAAAGAGCCACCTGGTTCCAAGCTAGGCTCGCAGTGAGCCGTGTTACCTGGAAGAAAATCGAAGCCACCGAGAATACTAGAGTAACCAGACCCGAGACCGGCATGCAGCTAGTACACCGAAGTCTGACCGCCGCCCTTGCTGCAGCCGATTTTTCCGCATAACGTTAAGGGCCAGAGTGCGAGTGGTCCTAAGCACACCACTGATTCCAATGAGGGCAGCACCCGGCACTCCCTGCTCACTAACTCCTCTAGTAGGTCGTTTACGACCACAATCCAGAGAAGGCGTGAGTGAACAACACCCTGGTGGCGCCACCCCACTCCGCTTCGGTAATTCTGTCACTGCTGATTTCCCGAGGGAAAAAATACATCCATGAATCCTTAATCCGGGAACCATGGTTCAGGGACTTGGAAGTTGCAGGGTGCATGGATGGTCGGTTCAGGATTTTATGTCGCTGTATATCAAATAAAAACTCCTCAAATATTATTATTCATTCATGCCATATCAGGCTGAAACGCCTATAAGGACTGGCAGATGGCAGCAATTTCTAACTTCCTTGCAATGCGAATGCAGTCATGCGCTGGGGGCAGCAATGAAACCAACGAAGGGCGTGGCGTACTTCGTCAGATTTTTATTAATCCTTAAATTACTCACGAAAGGAAACCCTAATAGAGCTTGGTGACTGCCTACACAGAGTTCATTTATGGTTAAGGGTAAATTTTTGGCCGTTTTATACAATCCTACTCAAGGTTATCAAAGCTTTATTACTAAATGTGCGGCAAACAGCGGCCTTGCAGCCTAATTCTGGTAAAACCGAGCTGGCATTATTCACTAGAAAGTACAAGATCCCCATTGCCACGCAACTGGAGCTGCTCACCGGAAAGTTTCTAACAGAGTTAAGTATTTGAACCTGGACGTAATGACTAAGGGATCAGATACTTAATATTCCTGCAGGGGAGCCGTAAGTAATCTTTCGGGCCTACGACTCTATAATTAAGCCTGATATGGTTTTTAGAGTTCTCGTTTGGTATAAATTGCTTGAGAGAGCTACACTAGTTAAGCAGCTAAACCGCCGTCACTAGTGGACGCCACGAGTTCTCTATAAACACAAAGTCTAGGGTTCCGGACTGCGATAGCGTGGTTCAGACAGAAGTGGCTGCCGTTAAAGAAACAACAGACACACTTCTCAGTGTGTGACTTCAGTAAGGGTAACAGGCATGAATCTCTCCTATGTATTTGATAGCCAAGCCTTGACGAGAGGGAACGAGAAGGATACTCTTAAAACGATATCACCCTAATAAATGGGAACGCTGTGTTGGAAAGGTCTGCGATTTTTGCCAGCTTGTTCTCTCAAACTTTCCTTCAAACTAGGTGAGAGTTATCGTTAAAAGGCTTTTTTTTGTAACCCTAGAAGTTAAAAGCCTGTGGAGGTTCTAAATTTACATCAAATGCTTTTAGTGCCAATCACAAAAGGACCGGTCAGAGGTTACCAAAAAAAATGTAAATAAAACTGAAAGTACATTTATAAAGCTGTGCAATTTGTAGTACGACCATTTCTAAAGATTTTAAGGAACCCTTTTCACTTTTCTTATCCCAGCTTCCACATATCCCAAGCCTCTGCCATACACACTCCAAACAGATGCAACGCGCCAACTTGACGAATTGTCAAACGAATGTAAACAAAGACTTGAGTGACAATTGAATTGTGCTTGAACGTGTGAATGCATAAACAACTGGCTTTAACAGCAACAGCAACAGCAACAACAACAAAATATTTAAATAGAATTAAAAGCCGGAAACACCAACAATAAGACAAAGAATAACGTTAAACGACAGCAAAGTAAACACGAAATGACAGGCGACACATAGCAGAGCAAGCAAAGCACAAATGAATCTAACACTATGTGAAAGAAAAATAACAACAACACCAGCAACAAAACAAATCAAATATCAAAAAGCAGAAGAAACCGAAGCAGCAAATGTGACAGTTGAGCCCCCCACTTGAGTGCACTCTAAAAAAAAAAAAAAAACAGTTTGAATAGCGTTACAGGAGCGTGGCAAAATGCAATACTTAACAGTATAACGGTAAAGGAGGCACAAGTGCAAAAAAAAAACAAAACTACGAAAAAGAGAATCAAGCTCGGAACACTTTGACGACTGCAACTTCACGACGTAACGACAGCGACATCATTTTGTCGACAAATGTCGCCTTGAAGCCAGCTTCTTAAACATTTTGAAGACCTCAGCGACATAGCAAACAGCCGATTTTAAAGTTTGACATTTTGGTATATTTATTTCACAAATTGTGTATTTTTATTTAAGTAAATAAGAAAAACATGAACAATCAAGAATATGTGATTAATTTTGCGACAATTTAATTTTGCAGCACTACATCTACTCATTGTCGCCGGCAAAATTAGAAATAGATTTAATTTGGCGACGTCGACAATTGCAGTCCTGCAGCCAAGATGTCGTGCTGTCGTCAAAATAATTGTGTCCGTAAGAACGTGTGTATTTAAAATTTGACAGATGCTGCTTGTCGCTTGCTGTCGTCAAAGTGTTCCGAGCTTAAGAACACAACAAGGCCTTCGTGCAAATGTGCGAAACGAAAAACGCTTTGCAATCGAAACAATGAAGTTTCAACACATTTGTGGCGCAAAAAGCAAGCAACTAAAAGCGGCTGTGAGTGGTGTGTTCGAGTGTGCGAGTGTGCGAGTGTGCCGAGGAGTGTAACGGTGCAGCCAAATGGGGATAAAACGATTTAAAGTGAACATTTCACCA